TGAGCAAGTTCACATTCGCTAACACATGTTCTGTGTTTGCTACGTATACAGAAATCTGATGTAGCGAGGATTTACAAATCAGTGCAGTTTCGGTCCGATGTTGGCTATATACGTTTCGATGTTCGCGGAATACTGCATATACTGTACTTGTACGTAACGATGAGCTTTCTCAAGACAACAAGGAAACAAATGTTGGAGAATGGGAAATAATGCGGAATTAGACCACGAATTTTTGAACCTTTGTTTTCCGAATGTTTTTCTTCGATGTAGATGGCAATTTGCCTTCAATAAAAATGTCTAATTAATAGTTACCTATTATTTTTGCAGTGATCAGCAATAAATAATAAAATTAATTTAACAGGGAAAAAATAAAAGAATTCTAACTAAATTTTGAGAGGTAAATATGAGAGGTTCTAGCTAAATTAATTCGTTAAAAACAATTCTAATTGTATTTGAGTCCTAAAAAAATATCTCTAGATTAATAAATTAAAAATAATTCAATCTGCGTATTCTAAATTAAAGAAGTAATTCCAATGAAGCATCAAGAGAGAAAATTGAGCATATCTTACACTATATATCGAAAGATTTGAAAAAGAACCCCAAACATGCGTTACAATGAGAAACTGCTATTTTGTTGCATCATCATATTTCCGTCATATTGCGTCTGATCTCCGACATTAATTACTTGGCGAAGCATACCTTCGTACCGAGAGTTGCTATCTCTCAAGTTTAATTGTACGAATAATTGGATGCCGTATATACGGCGTTGCGCAAAAGCTAATGACAGTCGGAGGATTACGCCTAGATAGGACGAGTTCGATCACGAGAGAGTCAAAGCACTTCTCGACGAAGAGGAGAGTCTCTTCAACTGAAACTGGAAAATTTTTCTCAAGGTGCAATTAGATTGCTCGTTAAAGCTTTACTTCTCGCAATCAATGCCAAGAGTTTTGCCGCGAATTTAGGAACGGGAGCGGAACTGGCAATCAGTCGATCAGTAACGTATTAGATTTCCCAGAATTGTACTCGTTAGAGCAGATTGAAGTAGATGGCTCAAATGTTTAAAGTTTTAAAACATTTTATTTAGATATTTATTCTAATTCAAAAATTTAGAAATATTCTATTTGTTCTCATAATTTAATTCACAATCTTGCAAATTGTATTATTTGGAATTAATATGTTTAAATTACCCACATAATTTCGAAATAAACGGAAATACTAGATATGTGCGAACAACAAACAAAATATTCTTCTCCTACATTCGTGCAAATATCACGTCGCGCAATGTTTCTAAACGTTACAACATGCTACAAACGTGTTGTTGCACACATTCGCAAACCGAATGTGGCTTTCCAGCTCGCCGGTCGCGATCGATTTTGTGAAATTTACGGCGCGTTCCCGCAAAAGCGAGACGCAAAGTTGATACTCGTCTTCCAACGCGACACAGAGCGATATCAGTTTTGGCACCGCGTCCAGAACCGGTCCAGATTGAAATCGTCAGCAAACAAGACACAATCCCGCTCGAAGATTGCAGCTTGCGATGCAATTTGAAACGTCAGAATCGTTCGGTGTAAATTTGATGTACTGCTCAGCGTTATTCTCACGTCAAGTTAAATACGATATCGCAACAGTATTGACATCATAATTTCTTGATACTTTGGTTGTCACATTGCGCGTATATAAATAACGCTTTTATAGAATAATGAAATTTGACATAAAATCAAATTCAAAATGAAATTGGAGTGAGGAAGTTGAATCGAATGGAAATTTCGTGTTATTCTCGAATTGACGCGCTGACAAACGTAATTTTGACGTCAAGTTAAGTGCAATACCGCAACGATTTTGATATAATTTCTCTGATTATCACGTCACGTATATGTATAGATAAATATGTGTTTGTTAATATATAATGAAATTTGACTTTAATTAAATATTATATTTAACTTAAATCAAATCAATAAAATTACAACAGAGAAGAATTTAAATTCGCCGTGGTCAGCAAAAGTCAAAGGACCGTCAGAACTTCGTCAAATCCACGACACGCAAAATGTTATTCTTAAATAAAAAGGAATATTTTAATCTAATTTTTGCTCAACTATTTTGTTTTATCATTGATAAATAAGTAATGTAAAACCTATATTTACGTAAGCTTCTTTTCATTTGAAATCAACGTTTCATTAACCTCGGCTTCGTTTTAAAGTTCGAGTGGCTGCTTGGGCATTTGCAAATTCGAGAGTGACATGAAATTTCCATTCCATTCCGTTCGTATTTGTTCATTGTCGTTCATAAACGGAGATACGTATAATTAAATCTGACATTTTGTATATTCATTTATATCCACTACAGTGCACTTACAAAACTAAAAATTTCACCATGTCATTCTACCTAATGCGGATTACAATGACCTAGATGTTATTTCAAAACTCAAATTATCTTGACCGTTAAGTGCCTTTTTAACAGGCTGCAAAATTCTTATTTGTATATTTTTTAATCAATGTGTTAACACTAAGAAAACACATTCTTATTTTTTATTAAATATCAATAGTTATTCTGAATTTTAAATCTTGAATTTAATACTGAAATGGATGCTCAAAAAATTCAACATTTTAATAGTATAAATGGAATGGTGCTTCAATGTGAATTCCGTACTCAAATACTTCAAATAAATAAATTGAAATAGATGCATTAATAGATTTAAATAATTACTTATCGTATATTATAGGATTTTTTTATAAATAAAGCTATTCATCCAATTTTTTTAATTAAAAGTTAACTAATTTTGTTCAATTCTTTAATTACAAATATTCCATTTTTATACATTTTTCTTTTATGTCTTATCTTTATATCTTTATTAATTGTTTCAATGTATATCAACCATTATTCATAATTTTCTATTTATATAATAAATTTCTATATTATTATTATCAACCATTTCTATTTATATTTTATTTGTGTATTACAACTATATTTTAACATTTTACTGTGTAGTATAGAATATTAAAAATTTATTGAATTGAAATTTATTGAAATAAAATATTCAAAATTTGTCGACCATTGTGCTGCGCTTTTATATATTTGTCGAAATGTCAGTCTCTTTGGCAGTGGACACTGCAAATTCAAGAGCAACGCAAAATTTCCATTCCATTCCGCGTTCGCGTTCTCTCGTTGTCGTTCATAAACGAGACGCGGTGTCTCGGTGACGCATTCAAAGTGCAGCGAAATGACGTGTGTGTGTGCGAAATACGCCAAGTACCCATGGGCTTCGCGTTACATAAAGGGCGGACATGCGACCTTACACGGATATGTAATTTATAAAAATACAGAAAACTTGCGACAAGGTCGTGCAAGGCACGAGTCGAAAGCCTCATCGATCGAAAGCGAAAAATTATAAGGCAAAGATAACATCGTCGCGACGAAAATAAAACTGGGAAGTGTTGATTTTGTCAGCACTCATTATCAATTTCTTGTATTTTCAAGTGAAATTAAATTAGTTACTTTGTTGCAATACAAACTATATTTGTCAAATACAATTAAAAGTAAAATGACATACAAATTGATGTTGAATGAAAAAATTTGGAAGCTTGTAATGGCACGCGAGTTGCACAATACGAAAGGGAATGGCGAAGTATTATTTTGGAGTGCTTTCTTCCTCTCGAGAAGTACATTTGTTGTTGGTCGCCCACTCGTCTCTACCTTCTTTCGCGCCTTTTACCCTAATTGGACATTCAAGAACGGCACGAGGCTTTCGGAAGCATCTTTCGGGAAGAAACTAATGGCCAGTGCTCCCTCTCTCCCTCTCT